GGACTGGGGAGATGAAAGGGGCAGATATATTTTCTAAACCCATCAACAAAATCCTCTGACATTCCAGCCAGCTGCCTCCAGACCTTTGGAATGGACAATGAAAATTGCAAACTATAAAATGATTAGTTTTCTGTTCTGCTGACAATAGCAAAAAGAGGAAATGAGTTAAAAGACGGACTGGAATATCTCCCTGCATCCGCTACAAGCCAGATAATTATCTTCCATTAACACTGAGCTGTCAGGATCGGCATCAGCCTGTTAACTTGCTTGACCTTCCTCAGCCTGCACCTTGTTACCCTACAATGCTTCATGTTTATAAAGATAGGAGACTCCAGCTGTTCCAGCCTGAGAGAACTTAATTTACATCTGGCCTTCATTAAGATGAGAGTCAGAATCATTGAGACCAAATGGAGAAGCCAGAGTGCTGGGGGTTATGAAAAAATCAAATGGCATTTCTCCTTTTATCTGACAATTCTTATTATGGAGACGTACGTCGACCTAAAACACACAAATCTTATATGTAAAGGACATGATTAAAATTCCATATTGCAGAACTAGGACCCGAGTGGCTTTACCCAAAAGGTACTGTGGTCCTAGTATACCACTTCTGTCTTCTGAGAAGTCTGAACTCCAAATTCTGCCCAACTCCCTCTGACATCTGATTCCAGGCTAAGGACAAGGAGCACATGAATGACAGCAATACCGAGATGAGAGGTGAGCTCTGACTCCTCCACCTAGCTCGCCCCTCATGGCCAGTCAGCCCCAATGTCCTGCCCCAATGTCCTGCTGCCATTAACCCCTAACGATTTCTCCATCCCACAGTGCCTAATTCAGGTCTCATCACTTCTCACCTGGAAAAGTGCAATAGCTCCTCACTGGCCCACTCAAATCATTCAAACAATATTTACTGAGCACCTACTATCTGCCAGGCATTTAATTAGGGATAGGGACACAACAAGGAACAAAATGGATATCATCTCCACCCTCCTGTGGATTACTATGGTTGGAGGGGGTGAGCTTTTATACAAATCATCATACAAATTGACGTGTCATTACAATTTATGAACGATACAATGAAGTAAAATTAAGAGTACAATGACAAGAGACCTCTGATTTACTTGAGGGTCAGGAAAGGCTTTTTTAAGGATGTGACAATAAAGCTGAGACCTACATGATGAGTTAGAATCAATGGTGAGAAGAGGGAAGAATATTCAAGCAGAAGGCACAGCATCAGAGCATCATTAAGACCAGAGGTAAGCAAACTTTTTCTCTAACAGTCCAAAGAGTAAATATTTTCAGCTTTGCAGGCCATGCAGTCTCCATCTCAAATACTCAGTTCTACCACTGTAGGGCAAAAGCACCACAGACAGTAGATAAATGAACAAGCATGGCTGTGCTCCAATAAAACTTTATTTATGGCCACTAAAATTTTAATTTCCTATCATTTTCACAAGTCACAAAACATGACTCTTCTTTTGATTCTTCTTCAAACATCTGAAAATGTAAAACTCATTCTTAGCTCCCAGGACATCCAAAAACAGGCAACAGGCCAGATTTGGCCCATGGCCCTAGTTTGCCAACCCCTAGTCAAAAGGCTGAGGTGGCAAAGAGCTGTTGTGTTTGAGGCACTCTGAGTGGATCCCTGTGGATGGATCAGAGTGAGCAAAGTGAGAGACACACAGTAAGCAGAGGAGGGAGGTGAAAATGACGTCATACACCATCTTCTGAGCCAGGTTACAAATTTTGGAGTTTATCCTAAGGGCAAAGCAAGGCCAACTAAGTGCTATAATGAGGAAAGTACAAAAAACTGGTTTTAGGGGAATTCCCTGGTGGTCCAGTGGTTAGGACTTGGTGCTTTAGCTGCTGGGGCCCAGGTTCCATCCCTGGTAGGGGAACTAAGATCCCACAAGCCACACGGCATGGTCAATAAATAAATGCATATGTACTAATAAAAACATAAATAAATAAACTGGTTCTTACTCCCCCCCACACACATTTTCTCATTCCTAATCCAATCTCTTCACCCTGCCAAAGGTATCTAAGACACTTTCCTCCTTGCCTAACAACCATCCACTAATCTCTCTCACCAAATAGGCCCTTAACAAACTGAGCCCAGGCTACTTACCTGCTCTCACTTCCTACTACACTCAGGGAAGCATCCCAGGCTCCTGTCCTAGGGCCTACACACCTTACCATAATGAACCTCATTCTCTCTAGAATACTGTATCCCTCCTGTCTTCTCTACTATGCAAAACCTCCACTCATATCTTGAGGCTCATCTCAAGTAGCTCGTGCAGGAAGCAAATTATTTTCCCTGAAAGCACTCTGCATATGCCTGCATCTCGGCGCTCAGTGCATCTTCTGCTGGCTCTGGTTCCATGCCTCTCTTCTCTTTATACTCCCCCACCATCGTCCCCGGTGGTCACTGTGCCGCTTGAGGGTAAGGCCGAGTCCTCTTTGTGCCCATGTCCCCAGTTCCTACCACAGTGTTGGTTCACAGCAGGACCTCAGGTAAGATTTGGCAAATTAAGGAATGAATGAAGAGTAAACAAATGGCAGCCCAGTAAACTTGGCACAGACTCTCATGTTCTGACATCGAATGTGCTGCTGAACAGCAGCTCAAGCTACTGTACTTCCCTGTGCCTCAGTCTCCCACAAGCCCAATAAAAAGAAGGTACTGTTTCCCGATTCTCCACACATGGATGCTTTTCAGGATACAAAGGTAGAGCCTTTAGCATTGAAAGTGGTTTTGTGAGTCTGCAGGCCAGCAACATCAGCATCACCTGGGAGCTTGTTAGAAATGCAAATTCTTAGCTCCCACCACAGGGCTACTAAGTTAGAGTCTGCAGTTTAACAAGCTCTCCAGGTGATTCATTTACACATTGAAGTTTGAGAAGAGCTAGCTGTAAGCCGTGCTGGTAGGCTTTAAGGAGAAGGTACGAAACATGATTTTAGAAGTTGTTTTGATTTTGAATTTGTAATCACAGTAAAACCAAAGGAACTCTCAGCAAGGATTCCTGGGCATGCTTACCAAAAAGACAAAAAAAAAAAAAATTGAAAAAGTCTGAAAAACAGATTTGAGGCTCAGCCTTCAGGTAGTTAAATGCACAGTGAGGCACTGTTTAGAGCCTTACTCAGAAAATTCTGAAATGGAATTGATTGGATGGATGGATGGATGGTCAGTCTTAGGTCAGAATCATTGCCACACAAATCTAGAACTTAATTATTTTCTATGGGCTTTATTTAGTGCAGTTAGATCTCAAGCGCACAGGTAAATATCCTGACAGGTTCATACCAAAGGTATATTTAGATCTCCTGGGATATACAGCCCTGAGCTGGCTATGAAGCAGGTGCTCAATAAGGCTCTGGTATTGCACCAATGACCACCTGCTCAATCCTCCTCACTTAATTCAGAACAGCTATTCCTCACCTGTGGTCCAGAAGGGTGACATAGCCAACCCATTTGTTCTTTTGCACATGTTTAGGCTGGCTTAAAGACCATCACCACCCTCATTCCTGGTCCTTCCCAAAGTGGTATGCTTCACAGAGGATTTTAGTACTGCATGACTAATGGGAAGAGCTGGGATGTGGAGACCAGGAGACACAGGTTTAAATTCTGCCTGTATCGTCTGTTTGGGAAAGTCATATAACCCTCTCTCTGAGCCTCAGTTTCCCATGCCATCTACCAGGCAGAGGCTGTTAGGATGAGATCAGTTAAAGTCTATAGCACACATAGCAGAGTGTGGAGGCAGTGCAAGTACAAATCAATACACTGCTTTGTATTTCAGGATATTTTTGTATCAAGTTTCCAAACTGATCCAGTCCAACTCTCTCACTTCAGAGATGGAAAAAGTGAGGCCTGGGGATGAGAATTGCTTTGCCCAAAGTCACACAGTGTGATGCAAACAGAGTCAGAATTAGGATCCTAAAACCCCCAACTCCTAAAACACTCTGTGTTTTCAAACCCTTAGCAAATATAGAAGTCTTTCTGCAAATTAAAACTTACAAAATAGCTCAATATACTAAACAAGTAACAAGCCAAGCCTGCCTTGATTACTGATGCCCTTTTTACTTACCTCCCTTCTGCCCCATGGTGGCAATCCAAGGACACCTCCTCATCACCTTTAAACTCTCCCCAACCCCACATTTGAGTAATTGAAGACTCAATCCACCTGAAACCTCAGGGCCAGTAAATGAATCACGGCAGGTCTTATCATTAGATGGATTCTCTCCTCACCAGACCACCTAGGGGTTTTCAAGTTCCTGCAGTTCCCAGAGGACTTGAACTTTCTCACACATCCATCTCTACTGGGAACCATTAAGCTGACATCACCATTCTCCACACTTCATAAATGATTCTAACATCTGGAAATGGGAACCGCCTGCAAGTGCCTTAGCCAGAGATCACCTTATCACAAAAGGGTATGGAAACTCAAGTTCAGGTGAGATGAGAAAGGCATTCCATAAAATGCCACTAAGGCCAAAGATTAATCATTGGGGGCTAAAAGTATGTAGAGAAAGAATGTTCCAGTCAGAAGATTTGGACTTGAATCCCAGCTCTGCCACTTTCTAACTGGAATGGTAGTTAACCTCTCTGAACTTCAATAGAACAGCGGATATTAAGAAAATCAATTTCAGTCATTTTTAGGTTCAAATCCTGGTTCTGCTGCATACTTATTGAGTCACTTTGGGTGAGCTGACGAATCTCTATTAGCTTTAGTTTTTACAAATACAGAAAAAGAAAAAAAAACTACTTTATAAGGTTGCCGTTAGGATTCAAAGAGATAATCTGCATCAAATACTTATTTCAGTGCCTTGCCTGAGTTAAGCAGAATGACTTAACCACAACTGAATCAATAAAATGGGATCAAGCTTCCTGACACTTGCTGCAAAAAATCAAATACAACAACCGTGATGAGCAGGGTGCCCGGTACCAATAGATTCAATAAATGGAATCCTCTGTTATTATGAATAATCGCTCCTCAACGCTATGCACTTACCTCTTTTAGCCACAGAAGCTTCGGGGCCTGCATTTCCACGGACATCACGCCCCCAACGTACTGCAGGACACTGTGCTTGGTTTCGTTGATCCTGTGGACCTGATTGACCGCCCGGTGGTCCAGCCACATGATGATGTTTCGATGAGAATCCCCTAACGAAAACAAGGGAGATGAGGACACAGGTGCATCCTTATCCTTCTAATTCAAGGGGGCACTTATGGATTCCCAAGGGCAAAAATCTGCACAACTGCTTGTATAATTTCACACATCAACAAGAAACAAGTGAAAGGACCACCACCAACACTGACTAGGTACATCCTACCCATATCTCGGACCCTTGAAGAGACGTGCTCTTTGAATATAGTCCCAGGGTTAAACGTCTAAAGGAAAAACCAGTCAAGATCCACCAATTAATTATATTACCATTCATTCTCTCTCAACTTTTCCCCTTCCTTTCCTATCTCACCTATTCTAGAAAAACTTTTCTGGGTACATACTCAAGAAAAGAGCCAATGAAATAAGCCTAAAACAATACTTCAGCTTTTTAAGGTATGTCTCCTTGAAATATGGACAAATATTTTAGGTATAATATCATATACATTTACATAATGGCTTTTATTTGCCTATATTCTCACTTCCTCTAGTCACTCTAATTAAAATTAGTTAATTTAAGTGTTTTTCCTCACTCGGTTGGTTTGTTTGGTGGGGTGGGAAGCACTGGAATTTTTTTTCCATTCTGGAACCAGGCAGACCTAATGGGGAATGTTCTTTCAGTATAGGCAGAAATACTGAGAAAGTTATTTAATTTTTCTTAGCCTAAGTGTCCTTATCTGCAAAATGTAACATATAAGGATTAACTGAGATTTTTCATTCATTGAACAAAAGATAATGTGCATAAAGGATATGGCAAGTACTTGTCACATAGTAGGCCCTCAAGAGGAATAAATCACAGGAAACAGAGTTTAAAATCAGCTGGAAAAGGAGCATGGGCAGTGCCCCTCACATCCTACCTCTACCATCCTGCAGCCCACAGAGAAACTAGTTGCCCCTTTCCCCCTTCCCCAGACTCTGCTAATTCATCCTGCACTGATGGGCAAGCCAGTATTCTTTTCACAGTCCTCTGCTTCCTCTGATGGCAAAACACAGAGAACAGCAAGGAATATACCTGGGAGATTATAAATGGGGAAGATAAAAGGGACTCAAGAGTAATTGAGATAGGCACTTCACATGTTATTTTATTTACTGGCAAAATAACTGCAGCAATTATATAATTTTGCTAATATGAGTGTTTATAAAGCTGCACATGCGCGTTTGTGTGTGTGTGTCCCAAGCCTTGTGCTGAACCTCTTGCACACATCGTCTCATTTAATCCTTAAAACAACTCTGAGATCTAGGCCATTTTCAACGACAATCTGACTCCGAGATTGAAGATATGCCTACTACCTCACAGCTGGGAAAAGCACAAAGTGTTCTTTGAAAGTAGATCTGTGCAGAGAATGGATAAATAAGTTAGTAAAACCAATTTAAACTCGAGCTACACACATCAACATGAATAATGACACCAGCTGGGGTATTTTTAAACACAGTATATATTGTTTGTTGTTGTGGGTATACACACATGTGGTAAAAGCACAGAAGAAATGTGTTTGTGAACACCAGCTATGGCAGAACCATTACCTGCTGGGCAGAGGGATGGGGGAGGGGGAGGGCATGGACTGAAGCTTCAAGTGGTTCTTTCTTTAAAAAAAAAAAAAAAAGGACTTGTGGCAAATGTGGCAAAACCTCATCTGTTTATCCTCATACATACATAGGAGGCTGTTATCTTATTTTCCTTACTCTTCCATATATTTGAAAAAGAATTTTTAAAACTTACAAAAAAAAGTCAGCCTAAGGACACATCTAAATTAGGTCATCATCGTAATGAGTCAAGGACTCACTCATTGGTTTGCCTGCCTGGAGAGATTTCAGGTCCCACAAAAACTCCTCAAACAACAGTAATACATTTAAAATAAGAGAGAGTACATGAAACCTTCCATAGGTACATCTAAGATTTTGTTTAAACAGCTGAGTGATTCTACTGTATGACAAAACTCTTAAAGTTCTGGTTCTAGTTTCACATTAGAATCTCCTGGGATAGCTTTAAAAATACTGATGTCCAGGTCCTATTCCAGAACCATCACGGAATCAGACTGTGGGTATGTGGGCACACATTCATAAACACACACACACACAATGTGGGTGTGTGGGTGTTGGGGGGGACAATATCTGCATTGCATCTTAAATATTGTATAGAATCTGTCTGCAGCTACTTCAAGACAAAAACACCTGTTGCTAAACTTTCTACTGTAAAGACAGACCGATCAGCCACTACTACCTCTACACGAAGAGGCTCTCAGAATGACCCACTGAGCATTGTGTAGAATCAATTACTTTATTATATCTATTATGATTATTAATTAACAATGTTCATTACAGACAACAACGTGGAAGTTGATCTTTTTTTCAGTGCCTGTAGAAAATCACAAATAAACGACTCCACTGAAAGTTCCTTTCATCTTTTATCAAGCATCTGCTACATGCCAGGCACAGGGCTGGGTGCTGGGATACCAAGAAGAATGTGCCACAGTCTCTGCCCTTACGGAACACGTGGGTAAACGGAAAAACGTCTGTATGGAGTGATGACAGAAGTCCTGGACATGGTACAGAGAGAAGGAAGAGCACAGAGAAGCCCCCAGTTAGCCGAGCCCGAGGCTGCACAGGGAGCTTCCAAGACGCAGGAAAGCTTTAGGTTAATTCTGAAAATGGCCACTGGATAAGCAGGTGAAGAAAGAGTGAGGGAGGAGGGGCTACACAATAGAAACAGCACGTGAAACCAAGAGAGCACAGGCCCATAAAGGCATCATATTTTAAGAGAACTGGAAATAATCTGGTAGAGCAGAATTAGGGTTACATAGTCAGTTTACCTTAGGGCAGATTATTTATCCCTGCACTCATTCAATTAATACTGTCAACACCTCACAGGAGGTGTTCCAGGGGTACTTGAAGGAAATGACTGTGAATCAGAAAACCATCTAAATATTAGGTTTCTGTTACAGAGTAGCCTAGGTAGTAACTTCCTCCCTGACCCTAAATTATCTCCCTTGGTTCCTCTCCCTCCCAAGAGCTCCTGTGGCTGGAATGATTCACCCAGTCATGGTCTGAGCTAGGTGGGTTGCAGAGGTAGGAAGCACACAGCAATGGCACCTCTGTCCAACCCAGCACTGGTCTGATCTTGAAAAGGAAGAAAGACCAAACAAGAAAAGGCAAACAATGAGACTATTTTATCATGTAGGTCAGTGTTCTCAAACTAGTGCACTTAATTTCCTTGGGATTTTTTTTTCTTTTCCTTTTTCTTTTTGGTTACCATCGAAAGAAAGTAAGTTTTGCTGGTCTTATGGGTTTGGTTTTAATGGTGATGGTTAATTTCCTGACCCCACTCCCTGCTCTTCACAATTACTCCAATTAACCAGTCAAGAATGGGTCATTATCAGGTAAACAGAAGTCTTTAAAGACCCTCTTAATTCATCCTTAAAATCTGAATTTCATTTTCTAGTACAGGCTAATCCATTGCCATTAAAATCTAACCTTAATAGAACCTGTTGAAAGGCAAGAAACTGATGAGGGCACCTGCAGCTGGATGCATTTGATGAATGGGTACATTTTAACCTTTTAGGTGGAATACAGTTTTTTCAACACTTATAATTCAGGCTGCAACCTAGGTAACACTTTTAATAGGAGAACTGTCAACAGGAGGCAATTCTCTCTACAATGAGAAAAAAGATGGCATCCGGGAGGGTGCTGGTATAAGCAGGTTTAACAAGGAACTCTTCCTCTACTTCAGATGTTCTTATTCCTAATGTTTTAGTTGTCCATTCATCTGCACCCAGTAATTCTCCACATATTAGAATTATCGAGAAAACTTTAAAAACACTGATGCCCTAGCCTCACCCCAAGCCAACTAAATACAAGCCCTGGGGGTAAGGCTCATGAATTGGAAATCTTAAAAGATCTCCAGTTGATTCTAATGTGCTAACCAGAGTTAAAAACCATATGTTTTAGCAGATTAGAAGGTACAGAGTCCTTGGAACTTAGGGCTCTTAACATCTAAAGTCCCATCCAAAATGAGAATTCCTCCCACAGCATCCCTAACAGACCATCACCTGACCACTACTTAAAACAAGCCAACAAAGAAGTGCTGGCAGCCTCCCCAAGCAGCCCACTCTGTGGTTGGAGAGGGCTTGCTGCTGCTGAGCTGAGGTCTGTAGGTTCAGTCCCATTCCTTGGGTCTCTGCTCTCTGAAGTGGTCTAGACGGGGGCTGCCCTGCCCTCCTGGGCTGGAACAATGCCAGCTGAGCCAGTGGTCAGCCACTGAGAACAAGGACGACTCATATTCGTCTCTGAAGCCCCAACACTTAATCAGACAGGGATTGGCACACAGGGGGTGCTAGTTAATGTGGCATAAATAGAAAAACGTGTGTGTGTGTGTGTGTGTGTGTGTGTGTGTGTGTGTGTGTGTGTGTAAAAGATGGTCACCATTACCACTGTGCTCTAATCATTCATCCATTTGCATACTTTTGCAGGGCATGTCATTTATAAAAATCACTGTTCCATGCATTAGGTCCATAGGAGTAAGTAAGACACATTCTCCTAACTTAAGGAATTCATAATCGGACTTAAGAAACTTTTCTGAGCATTCAGGCGTCCGGCTCTCACTTAATTCTCACAGCAAAGCTACTGTTTCATTATTCCAATTCTTTCAGAGGAGAAACCAAGCCATGCAGATGTTAAGTGACTCACTCAAGGTGTCACAGCTCAGCAGCAGCAGGGCTAAGATCTGGGACTGCCTGACTCCAATGCCAGGGTGTCCCAGTGTGCCCCAGTATCCATAGCCGCCAATTAAGAAAGGTGCTGCTACAGCAGTGTCCACTACCAAGGATTCTTTAATACAGCCTCGCCCAAAACATGCTTGTGATACCTATGTTGGCAACAACCAACTGAAAATGCAGAGTCACACTCCTTTAGATGGAGCCTGCAATTTCCAGTGCACCATAGTCTCCACTGCTCCCAAATGTCTGCCACTCATCAAAAGGTTAAATGTCAGTTGAATTTTATCTCTGCACATGTGCTGTTGTTTTTCTCAAATCTGGCACACTGTATTCATTTACATTACCTATCTGACTTCTGGGTTTGCAACCTTGGTGCTAGCACTACTGGCTAGAGTATCCCAAAAGGGACACATTCTCACCACCCATGAGAAATTTCTGACAGTGGATAAAAGTTGACACTTACATTTGAAACGGCTCATTACAGTACTCATGAGTGTAATGAGAGAGTGTAATGAGAGCGTATTAGAACAACGTCATTAAATGTGAATGTCTTTGGTCTGGCTGTTGAAAATAGAGAGACCATTTGTTTCCAGCTTTTGTGTGATATATGGTCCTGTCTGTCTTATTCTGTTTCCTTTAAGTGAACTTGATTCACCCACTCAAATGAATGTCGTGGAGGAGCTTCATATGCAAAGCAGTTTCAGGCACAGACAACACTCCCTTCCTTGAAAAGGCCCAAGGCTGCTCACTCTCAGCTAACGACCCCGCGCTCATCCTGCATCAGATTTTCTGGTGTGGCTCCTGTGCACTACGGAGCCAAGTCTCTTCCTAATCCACCTAATCCCAATGTCACCCCTCTCCTGCTAACTGCTGTCCAAGCTTTAACCTCTAGGGACATGATTTTGGGGCTCCATGCTCCACCTGTAAATCTCACTAACAGTGATAACACTCGATATCATGCTCCACCTGGGCCCCGGCCAGTATCCCACCACCAAGAAAAGAGAGAGAAACGGTCCTACCTTCATGATTCACTGGTAAAGGATGAAACTGCTTATCCAAAACAACCAGAGAACACGTGGCATCAAACCCAAGCCCTCGAATTTGGTTTAAATCAATCCCTTGTACAACTTTCTGTTTTAAAAACAAATAAAAAAAAATAAATTAAAATACAGGCTTTTAAAAGACTGAAAACAGTTATGACTAGAAGGAAATGAATGGCAGAATAAAGTATTTACAACAGAAAACAAATAAAAGTTCAATGTCACTAAAATATCAGAAGATCCTATAAATTACTTTAAAAGACAACCAATCTAACTAGAAATTAAGCAAAGGACATGACAAGTCACTTCATAAAATAAAAAGAAATAGTCAAAGAGTATATAAAAAGATTCCCAACTCCACTAAAATTAAATAAATGCAAATAAAAATATCCCAATCTTTGTTTTTCTTATTGGCAAAAATTTTAAAAATTAAGAGTATATAGTAGTGGCAAGACAGGGAGAAGTGGACCTTCTTTTACATTATCCTAACAGTGTGATAATTTAGTACAAATTTTAAAGAATATAGTATAGTATTTACTAAAATTAAAAAATGCATAACTTTTGACCCAGCAATCCTACCTCTAGGAACCTATCTTAGTGAATTATTAGCATGAGTAAGTAAAATTACATATAAACCAAGGTTAACTGTTTAAGAATATACCTAAAAATTGGAAAAATTATTTTTATTAAATAAATTATGGTATACCTGTAAAACAGAATTTTCTACAGTCATTAAAAATGAAGAGATGGGGGCTTCCCTGGTGGCACAGTGGTTGAGAGTCCGCCTGCTGAAGCAGGGGACACGGGTTCGTGCCCCGGTCCGGGAAGATACCACATGCCACGGAGCGGCTAGGCCCGTGAGCCATGACCACTGAGCCTGTGTGTCCGGAGCCCGTGCTCCGCAACAGGAGAGGCCAGAACAGTGAGAGGCCCACGTACCGCCAAAAAAAAAAAAAAAAAGAAGAGATAGAGAAGTATCTTCTGGGTGTGATAGTATGAAGAGGTTGGCAAATCTTCTTAGCAAAATAAAAGCATGAAACTGAACAACATCATCAAAAACAACCATTTTGGGGCTATGGAACTTGGCCAAAGCTACATAAGAAACTGAGAAACAGTCTTTCTTGAAAAATAAAATTGCACCTAAAACATTCCCACAAAACAACAACTCTAGGACCAGATGGATTCATTGGGAAGCTCTGTGAAACATTCAAAGAATAAACAATACCACTCCTATACAAATTTGTTTAGGATATAGTGAAGGAGAGAACATTTTCCAACATTTCATGGCCAGTACTACCCTGATACCAAAGCCAAACAAAGATATCAAATGAAAAGGACACTGTAGACCAATAACTGCCATGAACGTAAGTGTAAAAATCCTTAACAAAATATTAACAAACCAATATTGCAACATATAAAACATTCATTTTTCACCATGACCATGTGGGGTTACCCCAGGAATGCAAGAGTCGTTCAATATCCATAAATCAATTAATGTATAACATATACTAATAGAATAAAGTACAAACACCAAATGATCATCTCAACAGATGCAAAAAATAAATAAAAAATAAAAATCACTCAATAAACCAAGATAGAAGGGACTTTCTACAACCTGATAAACAGCATCTACAAAAACCTATACAAATCAAATGTTCACCATGGTTTAACCAAATGTTGAAACCAAGTGTGTTATATCCATACAACAGTATAGTACTCAGAAAGAGTACTATCTGTGCAACCACATGAATGAACCTTAAAAACATTACGCTAAGTGAAAGAAGTCTGACACAAAAGAAGGCATGTTGTACGATTCCATTTATGTGAAATTTCTAGAAAGGAATAACTATAAAGACAGAAAACAGTTATCTATGACTGGGGCTGGGAACTGACTACAAACAGGCATAAGGGAACTTTTGGGGGGTAACAGAACTATTCTAAAATTGAATTATGGTGATGATTGCACAATGTGTAAATTTAATAAAATCACTGAATTATACATTTACAATGGATATTTTATGTTATGTAAATTATACCTCAAGCTGTTAAATATGTTTTTTACAAAGTTGAGCTATAAAAGATGAAATGGAAATACATCCATGATATATTAATAAGGTACAAAAAAACAAAAAAAATATACAACAAACTGATAATAGTGGTTGCCTCTGAGAACAGAAACGACAGCTGGAGGAGATGGGAGATTTTTCACTTTGTCATGTAATTTTTTAAGCTGGAGAATAACAGATTTATTGATGAATTCTATTTTTTAATTTTTGTTTCTATGGTTTCCTTTTGTGAAAAAGCATGAGTGATCATACTCATTAACATTTCCTGCCAACTTAAAACATGACAATAACCTTTTAAATACCACAAAAGTCGACTCAAATGTGTCCATCACCATTTAAAATGCTCAAGTCGGGCTTCCCTGGTGGCGCAGTGGTTGAGAGTCCGCCTGCCGATGCAGGGGACACGGGTTCGTGCCCCGGTCCGGGAAGATCCCACATGCCACATGCCGTGGAGCGGCTGGCCCGTGAGCCATGGCCGCTGAGCCTGTGCGTCCGGAGCCTGTGCTCCGCAACGGGAGAGGCCACAACAGTGAGAGGCCCACGTACCACAAAAATAATAATAATAAAATAAAATAAAATGCTCAAGTCTTCTTTTTTCCTGTTTTGGAATGTTGGACTTGTCATTTAGGATTCTGTTTCTTACTATTTAATGGGTTCTTCAAATAAGAGCTACACACAATTATTACATATTTTTCAACAAAGAAAAGCATTAATTTTTTTCAAATAATAACAACAATAAATTATAAAATGTCACCATATATTGAGCACCTATGGAGTGTCAGGTACTTTACAAACATCATCTTATTTAATCCTTACAAAACCCACTGAGGAAACATTTAGTATTTCCATTTCATAAAAAAATAAGTGGAAGACTGGGGAGGGAAGGGAACAGCAAGTGGGCTCCAAAGATTGAGAATTTGAACTTAATCCTGTCGTACAGCCAGTCGATGGCAGAGCCAGAATTCAAACTCAGAGCCTGTGTTCTTCCTACTCCACCATACTGCCTGCCTGCCCAAGAGACTCACCCTGCAGAGAGGGCACGTGCTCTATGCAAGAACATCGCTAGTCAGCCATCTGTGATGCCTGGCAATACCTCTGCTCCACATCACCAGGTGAATGCCCCGTACACCTTTACCACACTGATCCATCAAGACTTAGAAGAATGTGAGCCGCAAACCCAAGTGCCTGTCAGCATGGCCTCATGACAATGACCCACAAAGACCTGGTTTCAAATCCTAGCTCTGTCACTCTGGCTATGTGACCCAGGGCATGTTACACAATTCCAGCCATTCTAATCACCCCCTTGCCTTGCTGGATCATGTCTCTGTAGCATTTATAAGCATGGCCTCCTCTACCTGGAATGTCCTTCCAACTTGGCTTGGAAATCTCTGGGTAGTGGCTAAGATCAATGGTACTGGGTGCAGACGCCCTGAGTTTGAACCTGGCTCTGCCACCGACCAGTCATGTGACTTTGGGAAGCCAGAAAACCAGTTTCCTTGGTTACACAAAGCTATTACTTAGACCTACATCTCCTAATGACGTTATGAGAATTCAGCAAAATAAGGTGTGATTAGCCCAACATCTGGCATTTGGTGCACAATAAGTAGCAGCCATTATTTGAGGAAATTAGCTGCCTCCAATCTTCTTTGAACTCATGAAGCATCAATCTAACAATCAACAAGCCAGCCCTAACTTCTACCTGCCCTGCGGCCCTATTGGTCTCTGTGCCCAGAGAGTGCATGCCTGACTTGGGCAAGCCCACCCCACATAGGCCTGCAATTAGTCAAGAGAGGAACTGGGAGGGAACACATAGAAGATGCAGTAAAACTCAATACCACAAGGCAGCTTTGGAGTAGAAACAAGCATGCGCTACAGTGTCAAAAGAGCCACCTTCTGGTTCCAACTCCACCACTTCCGGATCAGGTAATCTTGCACTAATCTCATCACCTTTCTGAGCCTCAGGTTCCTGAGAGGGAGAGAACTCCTAGGTAAGGATCAAGACCGTCAATTAGTTTGAAGGTACTCTGGAACCGATAAACCTTTGTAGGAAATATGAAGGATGGAAAACTCACTCGATGCCTTACTAACTGTGTTCATGGAATCTTTCTGATGTATGAAGCATAGCATGCTCTGTGTGTCATGTAAGCACATATAAAATGACAGGATAAACAACTGAAAAGTTTGGATAAACTCAAATCCTCCTAAGAATTATGGTGGGAGTGACTTTCCAGTAGAAGCAAAGAAAATATTCTCTACAATCTACTTTATGAATCCCCTCGAAGACCTACAGAGTTCTATATTCTAACCATGGCCTTTCAGCCTCAAAAGTGCAGTGTCTCCATCTCTAAAACGGAAACCTATCACAAGGAACTGGAGGAATAACTGTGACATGCATTTAAACCTGATTTGGTTAGGCAGCCACTGTCATTTCCCCAGCCTTATATGGAAATGCCTTATGACCATGCTCATCAGGCTTATCATGAGGACCCCCTCCACTCCCCAACCCCACCCCCATCTAAATCACCTCAGAGAGATGGCTGTCAGGGTCACACTACCCAGAAGGCCCCTGGGACTTGACCTGCTGACCTGAGGATTCTTTTTTATATGCTCATTAATGGAAGAAGAAAGCAGGCTAGTAAACTCACCCCAACAGCTTGGCATCAAGGGAATTTCCTCGGCTACAGAGAAAGCACATTGCTCTGCTAAAGAATTTCCAGAGAAGGAGACTTCTGCAACTTCATTCGGTAACCTGGTCCATGTCTTGCAACTGTCAACTCGTAGCTATGGGGCAGCAAACAAATGTTTGGGGAAGGGATTGTGCATCGCTTTGTTCTGACTGTGGGAACCAGTTCAATTCTGCATGTGTTTTAAATCAGCAGGCTGTGCCTTATTGGGTGGGGAGACAGCGTTCCTCAGAAATCTTCCAAACTGAGAACTGGAGGGTCAGAGGCATACCTGGTTTTATCTTTGGCTGTATTTGGAGCAAGCGTCAAAGCCTGGGGCCTCATGGAATCCAGCTTGCAAT